ACATCTACTTTATGGCTTGATAGTAAGGTAACTATGTAATCAATTTGCTAATTTAAAGAGCATGACACCATATTGATAGTTCGATACGGATGTTAAGCATATGTGAACTTGTCCCTAAGCACACTAATACGAAAGCAATACTTTCACTTTGATGTGGAAGCTAATTAACTTGTATGAAGAACCAATAGTGTGATGATATTCTAATCAACACAACAAAATAACTATCGAAGATTTATAATATGTAATAATCAAAGAAATAAAAAATAGAAAAATAAAGTGTTGAAAATAAAAATTATAACAAATACACAAGAAACTTATAGTGGTTCGATCAAACCATGCACTATGTCCACTTCCTGGATTCCTCCTCTCCAGGTATTTCAATATCACTATAGTATATCTTATTTATCCCCCACAGCTAGACGAAATAGCCCTTATAAAAATCTCTTCCACAAACCTGGTGAGGTAGAGAACGTAATCCTTTTCACTCTCATGGAGATGTAGAGAACTTGGAATCCCTTTTACCCTCTAGTTGAGGCAGAGAATCTAGAATCCTTTTCACCCTTCAAGTGAGGTAGAGAACTTGAAATCACTTTTGCCTTCCCCGGTGCGACGGAGTAGCCGAGTCCTTTGATGCCAAAGAGGTCTTATTTCTAAAGCTTCCCTCAAGACAAACCTTGACACATGGAAGAACTCAAGTGCAAGTTCATTGGAGAAACCATGTGGAACTCCTCGCACTCCCTTGCAAACCACAAGGATCTTCTCCCTCTCTCACAAACTCCATCCTTTCTCTCCCAAGCTCTAGGCTCTCCCTTCGAGCTTTTAGAAGAAATTACTTAATGAATGATAAAAATACTCATACAAAGTCTTATAAGAAAGTTTAAATAGAGGGTTTCAAGAAACCATAAAAACTTAATTTTTAGTTCAATATATCCTTGTAAGTACTGTACGAAGAGTAAGGAGCTGTATGATCAATTCAAGTATTTGAGCTGATCATCCATTACGATATGATTATCGCCTTATAGGATTAGTACAATCAAATTTGATTATCGTCCCATATGACTAGCTACAATAAAATATCATCATATGTAAAGATCGGGTCATAAATACGATTTATCCAATCGTACAGTATGATCTTACCTGTCCAATTAATCCAAATTTGATCCATAATTATATGATTAATTTAGGCAATATTTAATTATATCGTACAATATGAATAGTACAAAATTCATATTTTAAAATATTGCCTAAATTATGATTGGCGTCTAAGATTATGATTTCAATTGATCATCCTGTAAGATGAAGATCATGCAGTACGATTAGTTCAAATAGATTTAATTACATAATTAGCTGTTGATTAACTGATAAATTGTTCGTACAATATGATATTTATCGTATAGTGTGATTAGTTCAACAAATTACTCTTCTAATTTTTTCTATATCATTCCCATGAGAATATGCATGCACGATCACTAGGCTTGCATACACCTTTATAGGACTTGACTCAAAAAATTAAAAAAATACATAAATAAATTTTACAGTCTCTTTCAGCATATCCTATTCTATCCAATCTTAAGCCCTGATCTTCATTAAATGGTGCATGACATACCTAAAATGTCAGTACACACAAAAATAAATACATAGTACAAATGCTACGAGACAAAAAGATGGAGTCAATAATATTTGTTATCATCAAAACCATCAACTCGGGAGTTCGAGTTGCAATAATCTCTATTTTTTTATGATGACAAATATTATTGGTAGAATTTATAAATTAAATTATTTTCTCATAATCTTTCCCTCACTAAGAGAATTATAATAAAAATAAGGGGAAAATTTTAATTTTTTATTTAATGTTTTTTTTTTTCAATTTTAAGAAAAGTTGAAAATAAATAGCAAAGAAAAATTTGAAATTAAATAATAAATGCAATCAATGCAACTAGATGTGTTCCCCCCTTTTGTCATTACAAAAAATAGAGAAAATACAACACCTAAAATTGAACTATATGTAGAAGGAAATTAGAACATATAATCATACATAAAATTAATTCACAAATCAGATAAACAAACACACAAACAGATAAAAAAACACATAAATAAAAAAATACACAAATAGCGAAATAAACTTTATACTTGATCGAAATTATCATTGGAATCATTTTCACCCTCTAGGTGAGGCAGAGAACGTGGAATCCTTTTCAACCTTCAGGTGAGGCAGAGAACCTTAAATCATTTTAACCATCCCCGGTGCAGCAGAGTAGCCAGGTCCTTTGACACTAAAGAGGTCTTCTTCCCAAAGCTTCCCTCAAGACAAACCTTGACACATGGAGGAACTACGGTGCAAGTATGTCGGAGCAGTCGTGGGGAACTCCCTCTCACACTCCCTTGCAACCCATAAGGAACTTCTCCCTCTCTCACAAATTAACTCCACCCTTTCTCTCCCAAGCTCTAAACTCTCCCTTCAAGCTTTTAGAAGAAATAACTCAATAAATGACAAAAAGACTCATACAAAATCTTAGAAGAAGCTTAAATAGAGGGCTTCAAGAAACTCTAAAAACTTAATTCAGTCGTCTTTGATCGTACATTACGATTAGTTCAATATATCGTTATTAGTACTATACAAAGAGTAAGGAGCTGTATGATCAATTAAAGTATTTAAGCTGATCGTCCAGTATGATATGACCATCGTCCAATATGATTATTACAATCAAATTGGATTATCATCCCGTACGATTGGCGATGATAAAATATCATCCCATGTAAAGTTCGAGTTGTATAGTATGATTTTTCCAATCGTACAATACGATCTTACTGGACCATTTAATTCAAATTTGATCCCTAATTATATGATTAATTTAAACAAGATTGAATTACATCATACAATGCGATACTTATCATAGATACTTATCGTATAGTACAAATAATACAAAATTTGCATTTCAAAATTTTGCTTAAATTATGATTAGCAGCTAATATTATGATTTTAATTGATCGTCCTTTATGATCAAGATCATCTATTATGATTAGCTCAAATAGCTTTAATTACATAATTAGCCATTGATTAGCTGATAAGCTGATCGTATGATACGATATATATCGTACAGTATGATTAGTTCAAAAAAATTACTCTTCCAATTTTTCTCTCTATATCTCATTCCCATGAGTGTGTGTGTGAACGATCACCAGGCTTGCATACACCTTTATAGGACTTGACTCAAAAAATTAAAAAAATGCATACATAAATTTTGCATACTCTTTTAGCATATCCTATTCTACTCAATCTTGAATTCTGAATCTTCATTGAATGGTGCATGATGTACCTGAAATTTTAGTACACAAAAAAACAAATACACAGTACAAATCCTAGGAGACACATAGAAGCAATCAATTATGTTTGTTATTATGAAAGCCATAAACTCGAAAATCCGAGTTGCAACACATATGACTGGGATCCATTATGCATTGGAGTGTAAACCTTGCAATCAATTTATTTTACAAGCTCTTTCCTAGATTACGTGACTTGCTAGGATTATTTAAACATAGGAAGGAACTTCCCTCATATAGAGTTTTTGAGAAATGGAGGGCCATCCTAAATGAGGTTCCTAGCGCTTTTGTAAGATAAGTTTTTTAAAATTTTAACAAGAATTCATGTAGCATTTACATAGATATATATGGAAGAGTGCTCTATCTTATTTGTAGTGAAGATTTTGAAGTGTATGCACATCCTCAACTTGACTTTGAAGAAAATTTTTTGTAAGTCGCACATTATTATATGCCATTCTGTCGAGAATAGAACTCAGATTCCAGTCTATCTCCTCCATAATACTGAAAAACAAACATTTAATTCAGATTTAAAAATACCTTCTAATGCTCTCCATATGCAATATTATTTTCTACTGTTGAAACATAATATCCATTTTATAAATTAAAACTATAAAATTTTTAAATAACTTTAGAGCTACAATTACGCTATTTTTTACCCGGCGCTAAATTAAGTCAAGTAGAGCCAAGCACATCATGAATTGGACTTGGTTTATTCATACTATAAGGTACTAATGTTTGGCTCAAGCTCAAGTCGAGGATTGATTGTACTTATTTTTATTAAATTTTTATATAGTTGATTTGGTTAAATTAATCAAATAAATAATTAAATGAGTTAATAAACAAGCTAAACATTTTAACAAGCTTTGACTTCTCATAATAATAGCATTGGCAAAATCATATATAACAACCTTTTTAAGTATAATTCCTGGTTTGTCTGCTTACGAAATCATAGCCTAAGCTTCATTTCAGACAAATATATAAAATTAGCTTTTTAGTAATATATATATAATATATATAAGAAATAAATAACTTTAAAAAAAATCTTTATATCGTTAAATATTTTTAACTCCTAAGAGATGAATCAATAAATTTTTTTTTAAATCTACATATTTTTTCTTGTTATGACTCTTATAGAGATCTTCATGCAATACACAATCTCGATGCAACCTTGCTTCATTTGGGGCAACTTTTCTACTAAAAATAATTTTTAATATAAAATTTTCGACGCTTCAAATCTTTGTAGTAAAATATTATTTTAAAAAAATTATTAAAAAATTATCCCAAACAAAACTTTAATCAACAATTATCAACTAAGGAGAATGATCTCAAATATGCAGAATAAGAGAGGAGATTATGTAAATAAGATATGAAATTGAGGAGCTATTTAATATAATTTAAAATTAAAAAAATGGTGTAAAAATTATATTTAAATATATAATAATAATAATAATAATAACAACAAATTACATCTTTTAAAGTAAATCATTTCCATAAATATTTGATCTTCAAAATTTTTAAAATGTAAAATATTAATATTATTTTAATATCAAATATATCACCTATATTTTATTCTCACCACTCATATATTTCATTCATACCACTCATATTTAATATGAAAATGAATTATAGGTGGTATATATGTAATATTAAAATTTTAGGTGTTAGATATGTAAATAGTATAGTATATAGTGATATATATATGTACATCCCCCAAAATTTTAATGTTTAAAATTCAATTCATATAGGCCTTCACTTTAAAAGCCATACATAAGCAGGTTAAAAACTCGCATATAAGCCATACAAACCGATTTAGAGGAAGGCGTAAATCTTCATTTTTTCAGAAAAATTTCTCTGAACTCTTCATTTGATTTGGGCTTCTCGGTTGTTTCATCAGTTGGTAATTCTCTTTTCGACCATCCCAATGGCTTCGCAACTGCTCTGGGTATTGCAAAGGTAATATTCCTCACAGGTTTTGCAGTGTTGCGACTTTCTTCTCTTGGAGGAGCTTCAGATCCTCTGCTTAGGTTTCCTTTACCTGCAGAGAAACATGACAATAAGGAAGAATTTTTTTATTCGATGGCATCCAGTGAATTCTGTGTAAATAGGGAATTGGTAAATTCTTCATTGTAAAGTTCGGTCTTGGAGAGATTATTATGTGCGGAGTCTGGACCGGAGCTTCATCCGGTTCTTGTGAGTATGTGTAATAAAGTGCATTGATGCACAATAACTGTGCCTTTAATGTGCACACTCATAGAATCCGGACAGTTCTCTGATTCAGACTTTGCACGTAATAATCTCCTGTCTTCTTGGGCATCATTAAATTGGGTTTCAGAGCAGTGAAGTTCTCATAGGAAAGATGCTTAGCAAGGAAGCAAATCTGGGTGTTTTAGGATTTGAACGTCCTCACTTAGTAAACATAAACAATAATTACTTAATTGAGTTCAAATACCTTGTATAGATGTTGGAACTTTCAACTAGCTGATATTTCAGCTGACTTAAATTAGTCAGCTTCTAACTTAAACAACAAATCTTTGGCAGCTTAATAACATTTCATTCAAATTTGAACCATCAGGTCAGTTAACTTGTTTTGGTTACTCTCCTAACTTGTTTTGGTTACACCTATGATGCACAGACACGGACACGGTGACACAGATACGACATGACACGGACACGGGACACGTCAGTTATTGAAAATATAGGACACGGACACGGTATTATAGTTTTTATACTTAAAAAATAGTGTATAAAAATTAAATAAGTATAATTTTAAAAATAATAAGTCATTAAACTAGAATTTGTGTTTAAAATGATTAGTATCAGGATGTCGAGAGTCAGACATCGATGTCGTTTATCAGTCACCGAGAGAGGAGATGAAAATCCTTCACTGCCAAAAAGAAATGAAAATGAGAATATTTGATGATTGGGTATTAAGTGCGGACATTGATTTGGTATTGTGAATGGGAAATAAGAAATTTAGTTTAAATCCCGCAAAATACAAGAAATTATATTTAAAAAGAAATCATAAAATATTTAAGATACGCGTGTCCGGACACGCGTGTCCAATTTGTATTTAATATTTTATAATCGGACACGTTTTTGGCGTGTCCGACACGTGTCGGAGGAGTGTCGTGTCGGATATGGCGTCAGACACTGCACGCCTCTTTGAGGAGAAGTGTCGGTGCATCATAGGGTTTACAAAAAAAAAAACTTGTTTTGGTTACACACATTTCTTTATCACAAAAAAATCTAAATCAATGATAACGAAAACCAATTTGACTTAGGCTTTGTTTGAGACGGCTTTTTTATTGTTTGTTGAAGCAGCTAGTATAAAAATTAAAAATTTTTGTACTAGAAAACTGTTTCAAGAAACAGTAAAAAAGCCGTCCCAAACGAAGCCTTAACCTGCACCTACTTTTTCCCTTTCCACAAACTACATTGTATTGCAGATGACTACTATGTACTAAGAAGTTAGCGTCTTCTAGCAGCATTATCCATTTATTCAATCTCACAATCAGTGGAGTAGAATCTATCCTAGCAGGAATCAAGGAGTGTAGATAATTTATCATAATAGACCAATGGTGTGCAATTTGATTCATTCATGAACAAGGAATAGTAGAAAGACTGACCATGCAAATAGTTGATATAAACACCACGAAAGATTTATAAGTGTACCTTGACTACGAGAACTCATGCTGGGAGGCAAAGATTTATTTCGTCCTTGCTTGGGATCTGAGCGAGCGATGCTCAATTTATTGCCAAGCAACTTCTGTTTATTCTTTGCAACAGCAGCTGCAAGATGTTCCTCATCCGAAAAATCTACATAGGCCAACCCCTGTAGAAAACTTTAGATGGTTTAAAGAAATTTCCAGTTGCCAAGCGGAAACCCAAGAAATTAGCAAGAAAGAACATACTTTCAAGTGTGTAAGATGCCTTTTTGTATATTATTGAACCAAAGTGAAATGCAGATTGACATAAATAATGAATATCAACAAATATGTTGAAAGCTGATAAAAAAATGCAGTGGTATAATAAGATTAAAATGGTGATAATTCAATTTAGAGGGATCAAGATGAGTAGATTATTCATGTTCTTTCTATGTTAAGATGAAACACCTTTTGTTCTTTCACCAAACAGTATTAAAGAAATATGATCAAATACAACTTCCAATGAGAGGATGCTTTTGACCAGTGAGATGTCACAGAAAGAGAGGCCGGGAAAAAATAGAACTCACCCTTGATTTACCACTGAATTTGTCCCTAAGTAAGCGTATAGCAGTCACTCCTCCAGAATCCTTGAAGAATCCATGCAAGTGGTTCTCATTTGCCTGCAAAGGACAGCTGCTGAGATGCAAATTCAAGCAGAGTTGTACTCAATACATTAAGCTTCTCCTAATACAGTATTTAAGAAGAGATTGAAGCATTCAATCTTAGTCCTGCATTGCAAAGAGATGCTCTATAGCTCATGACCTCCAGGTTATAATTAAGGCTCACCATGAATACAAATTGAAGTACAAAAAAAAATCTAGTCAACAAATTATGGAGAACTTGCCTCAACACTAAGGTTTGATATAAATGCAGTACACTTGTCAGTGTAAAATATCTTAGTTTTGCTCAACTTTGAATCTTCAACACCTTTAACATTATGTTCATGATCCCCAGTGTCTTGCAATGTTTCTTCCTGCTGATTCACATTATCCAAAATGCTCGAAGTACTGGTAGGAACAGGTATAGATGTTTCAGATCGTTCAATTGTAACGTCTTTTCTTTTCTTTGCCGGAGGCTGCTTATCACCATAAGTTTTATTTGCTTTCCGTTTTTGTGATGCAATTACGGCAACTGAGCCATCTTTCTGAGTGGACAAAGAACCTTTAGAATCCTGCTGCGATTTGTAAGCCATCAGCTCTTGTAAACGAGGTGTCACCTACAATGATTACAGATAACAACGCATCAATTGTCATAAATGAGGGACTAGAATTGAATGGAGATTCTTTGAAGAAATAAGTCAAAAAAGTGAAAATATCTATACCATCAGAAGATATTGCCACACAAACAAAAAGCCAGAGCTTGAGTGCCTCAGGCGTGAGCGCCTCTTTTTAGTTATTTATTGCCAATATTTTGTCCATCATATAAAAATATTACCGTTTCATTTGGGATGACTTTCTTACTGTTTCTTAAAACAACTTGCTGGTAAAAAAATTTAAATTTTGTACTAAAAAATTACTTTAAGAAGCAGTAAAAAGTCGTCCCAAACAAAAACCTAAAATAAGCATGAACATATTTTTTTAATCTGTCCATCCTTATTTGTCTCTTCTTAACAAAGAGGACTAAAGCAATCCTTTTCAATCAATTTTCTTCCTTTTAAACCCTTGCTCATGCAGATTTTTAATCCAAATTCAATCACCGCTGCTTCCATTTATTCTTCTTAATGAAAGGCACCAAAGGACGTCTTTTCATGATTCTTCCTACCACTTGAACTCATTTTTTCAAGTTTTCCTGATCTCTCCTTTATATCAAACAAGTATCTTGACGAGGCCATGTCATTTTTTATTTATGTTTCTTTTTTTTAAATTTGTTTTACTTGTTATTTTGTTTAAGTTATAACATGAGTTTTAAATAATCTTGATATTCTTATACATTTATTCAATTTAAAAAATATATATAATATTTAAAATATTTTGGCAATGGGTTAAAGGGCAGTCTTCAGACATAAGAGACTAGTGATTGCAACGATGAATCCAAGTGAATTTTCTCATCAACTTCATCCTCTACAGCTTACCAAACATGATTTGTTCTCACATTAACTTATTTTTAAAAAATAAAAATTAAAAATTGACGCCAAGCAAGCCCTCATATTATTGCTAGTACTTATGCAAATTGTTTTAAATCAAATATGATGACTTACCTTACTCCTTCCTAGCGGGATTCTGATCTGGTAGTCAGACCTAGGCCCTGGATTCCTAATCTGTGGGACTATCACATGTATTGCAAGTCAAAGTCATTCTCTTATTCTCATAAAAAGTATCTATAAGAATATTATTAAAACATTGTATATTCTATCCTCATAATAATTATCAAAAGATCAATATGTAATTAGCTGATTCCAAAGGAGGAATTATCTAGTATATCAATGAATCATGCTATATAAATGGACATGGCAGTTTGGCATTAGCTATGTACAACATTTCATTTCCTAGTATATCAGGCTTACAAACAGACAAAAATAAGTCATTTCTACCACCTCTTTGTGCTCAGTGATACTCCAATTTTCTCGATTGTTGTCCTTATATCCTTAAAAACTCCCATAAACAGATTTATTTCTCCTAGTAAGTTTGCTTCTCTTACTTACAAGATTCTAAGTTACCAATTCCCCACAAACAATCTCTACCACACGTGTCATCTCTCAACAGGTCTTGAGAACAACACATAAAAAGTCTTTTATGATGATGCTGAGTGCGTGAAGCAAACAAGAGCTTATGGTGGTTTGATGAGAGCAAGTGATATTATACATGACCTTTAGTTTAGTGTTATTATTACTATTATTATTATTATTATTATTATTATTATTATTATTATTATTATTATTATTATTATTATATGTATGTTTGTATGTGTTCTAGAATATTACTTCTACACATCTAGCTTCGCACTCCATCTTTGATATAGGGAAGGCTATCTTATAGAGTTCACCGATACCGGTGTTATCTATCATACATAAGAATCTCTCAACTATATTCAAAAAGATATAGGATATCATATATTTACTATGATATGCTTTTAATTGTCTCGAAGCAATTAAGTTGTATATCCATTATATCCTCAATTTACATTATTCGTGTGTGGGCTATGAAAATTTGGCTTTAGGGTGCCCCGACCTCCTTGTTGATTTGGGGAGAGTTTTAACAGATTATGTTTCAGAGAAAATTTTTGGAAGACAAATTTGCTGGAGATAGGATACCACCTAGATATTTCACTCTAATATGTGAGAACTTTAAGATATGAGGTCTGATTTCCTATAGGATCAAGCCCCTATGTTCCCCTATGTTTTATTATTACTTTTGATCACGAGTGAGCATTTTAAATTAAGATTTGACATTAGGTAGACACCAAGTATTTACTATATAGTAAAAGCATATTTAAGAATTTAAGATTAAAAATTTATCCCCACACACTTAAAGTGAATTGTGGGGGGATAATGACGAACCCACTTAAGATCTTATGATTCTATCGTCTCAAGTCATCATAGTCCCTGGTCTACTAATAGGAGATAGTCGACTTAATATACCAAAAGATCCTTGTTGTTACCAATGGATTGCTTTATATAAGGGTAATTTGTAGACTTGAGATGAATGTTTAACTATGGGATAAATTAAGTCAACCATAATTAACAAAGAGCTTTGTACCCTATCAAGTCTACTCTATAATTCATTATTCAAAGGTATTAGCCATTCAAAAGCATACAAACTATAATCATGACTGTAATGTAGTGAAGTTGTTGGGTTAAACCACCCAATTAAAGGTTACCAGTCATAATTGTTTATTATGTGGAGCTGTTAGGCCAAACTACCAATTAAAGGACCCTGCCATAATAATTTACTTTGTAGAGTCATTGGGACAAACTACCAGTTACAGGACATAATTCATGTGTGGGCTATCATCGAGGGGTGTTTACGCCATTTAAAATGTTTATATTTTGTAGAAATTCAGACGCATTTAAAAGGTACAATCATCTATGGTTGAGATTTAATTTCAATATGACCATTATCGAGGATTTAAATAATTTCATTTTTATTATCCAAACCTTGCCAACTTTGTGCCCTTGCTAGTAGAGCATCAGGTTCGATCTAAGTTTATATTGCATTTTGATGATAGGATCCTCTTTAGTTGATATTTACTATCAATGTGACTATCATCAAGGATTTAAATAATTTCATTTTTATTATCCAAACCATAACAACTTTGCCCACTTGCCAGTACAGGATCATGTTTTGATCTAAATTTATATTGCATTTTGATGATAAGATTTTCTTTGGTTGATATATATTATCAACACATACATCATTGGGAATTTAAATAATTTGTATTTTTGAGTTATTTGAATATTGTTGACTCTATTTGCCTACTAAAGATGATTAGGTTCGATCTTGCGCACTAGGGGTGTCAATTTCGGGTCACGCGTCGGGTTCGGGTCGAACCCGAAACTGACCGGGCACTATTCGGGTCAACCCGAAGCCTACCCGTTTATGAAAACGGGTCGGTTTTTCGGACCCGAAACCGACCTACTTTGGGCCCGGGTAAACCCGAAACGACCTTAATGACCCGGTGCCAACAAAAAAATGCTAGTTTTTGGGTCCAAAAACGGGTCAATCTCCTCTTTTTGGGTAAAAAACGGGTGAATCTCGGGTTGTTGGGTTAAAAAACAGGTGAATTTCGGGTTAGAGGGTCAACCCGAACCCGAACCGATTTTTGAAACTGGTCGAATTGTTGAACCCGAACCCAACCCGTTTCGGGTTCGAGTTGACCCTATAATCCGAAATTTTTGGGTCGGATTTTCGGGTCGTGTCAAATATTGACACCCCTATTGCATACATTGCATTTTAATGATAGTCTCCTCCAATTGAGACTTTCTTTCAACACAATCATCATTGAGGTTTTACATAATTCATATTTTTATCATTTAAATTTTGTAAACTTTGCCCATTTGCTGGTAAAGGATCAAGTTTGATCTAAGCACATGTGATAATTCCATTAGGGAAATTTGCACTGATCAAGGCTATTTTCATAATCATTTGGACATTCCTGCAGTGGCTATTACACACTTTCTAACCTCTTCAATAATAAACCCTTCCCCATTACTCATGACTACCCCATCCCTTGTGGCCATACTATCCCTGTTCATCTTCTCTCCTCCCTAATAGCTCCTATTTTACCAACGAGAAAAAAAGTTATTATCTTCTCTGCATTTAAAGATTCAACCCTTGGAATAGATGGGTACACTTTTGGGTTTTATATCTCTACTTGCAATGCCATTGGTCCTCAAGTTTGTTTGGTTAGTCACTTTTTCAACAAGGGATATCTCCCTAAGAAAGTTAAAGTTACGGACACTACATTATGCTAGAAATATTTTTTATTACAGACCCATTTCCCTTTGCAACACATTTTGTAAAATTTTTCTAAGATTTGGCTGCTAGAATCCAACATATTATGTCTTTTATTATTCACAATAGCCAATATGATTTTATTAAAGGCATGATCTCTACCGACAAAATCATTCTAGCAAAAGAATTACTTGTTGAGCTAAACTCTAAAGGGAACAATTATTTCTTTTGCACAAAATTAGGTATATTTAAAGCTTTTGACTCTTTAGCCAGGGAACATGTCTTACATAGAATGCATCTTAAGGGGTTCCCTCAACAGTTCATTGGTTGGATAATGTCTTGCATCATGAATGTTCATTTCTCAGTTTGCATTAATGGGTATTAGGAAGGTTTTTCAGTTCATTTTATGGCTTGAGACAATGATGCCCCCTCTCACCTTACTTATCTGCATTGCCAGCTATCTAGCTTATTTGAGCAGCATATATGTAACAAGACTTATGAGGGTATTGTTGTTGGTGAGAATAATTTTTCTCATTTTCTATATGCAAATGATATTTGATCTTTGGCAGGGTTTCCTCCACTAACTTGCAAATTCTAAACAATATTTTCACAAATTTAAAGCAACATCCAGGCTAGTTATTAATCCCTCCAAGAGCAATATTATTTTTTTCTAAAAGCACTCCCCACCAGCATGCTCTTTACAGTATTATTAACCTGAAAAGTAACAATAACTTATTTTCCTACCTTGGGATCCCTAGTGCCACTAGGAGGCTTCTGAACTCTGATTTTCAATCTCTGATGAACATTACTCTCATTCTCGAGGGAT